CAAAATTTTTTTCAGAAAATACCAATTTTTCAAAAAAAATTCGCGAAAAAAATCGTGTTACGGGGGATGATAATTGTGTTTCTGGGGTCAAAATATAACTACCGCTAAAAATATTTGCATTTATTTAAGACTCGCCATTATTTTCGACTTTTTGACACATTTTTTAGTTAAAATTTATAAAGAGCCATCAATAGGCCAATTTCAAGAGCATTTTTATTCTCTTTAAATATTATTATGTAGGATGGTTTGAAAAAGAAATATTTCTTTCATATTATTGATGTCACTAAATAAACCCTTGTATAAAATTTTATATTTCTAGATGTTATAGTAATGCATTTTCGTACAGCAAACTTTCATCCTATGCTACTCCCTAAGGGTATGAATTTCATAAATTCTCTGTGTCCAAATATTTAACTCATGTCTTTTAAATTATCCTTTGTGCAAATTTTTATGTGTATAATCCAGAGATCACGAAGGTTTATATAAATTTTTATTAACTTTACCCATTTGGTTGATGAATTTCAAAAATCTTTTTTAATTCTTTCTGTAGAATTTCATTCTTCTAGACCAGAAAGTAAGGAATTTTCTCAAGTAAGGAATGATTTATTGATTTATTGATTTATTGATTTATTGATTTATTGATTTATTGATTTATTGATTTATTGATTTATTGATTTATTGATTTATTGATTTATTGATTTATTGATTTATTGATTTATTGATTTATTGATTTATTGATTTATTGATTTATTGATTTATTGATTTTATTGATTTATTGATTTATTGATTTATTGATTTATTGATTTATTGATTTATTGATTTATTGATTTATTGATTTATTGATTTATTGATTTATTGATTTATTGATTTATTGATTTATTGATTTATTGATTTATTGATTTATTGATTTATTGATTTATTGATTTATTGATTTATTGATTTATTGATTTATTGATTTATTGATTTATTGATTTATTGATTTATTGATTTATTGATTTATTGATTTATTGATTTATTGATTTATTGATTTATTGATTTATTGATTTATTGATTTATTGATTTATTGATTTATTGATTTATTGATTTATTGATTTATTGATTTATTGATTTATTGATTTATTGATTTATTGATTTATTGATTTATTGATTTATTGATTTATTGATTTATTGATTTATTGATTTATTGATTTATTGATTTATTGATTTATTGATTTATTGATTTATTGATTTATTGATTTATTGATTTATTGATTTATTGATTTATTGATTTATTGATTTATTGATTTATTGATTTCTGTAGAATGTCATTCTTCTAGACCAGAAAATAAGGAATTTTCATACAACAAATTGTTCGACATAATTTTACACTCTAAGAGGATGAATTTCCAAAAATCGCTTTGAGTAGATAATCCAATAATCACTAATGTTTAAACGAACCTTTGTTTTGTCAAGACGATGCTATTAGTAAGACCATTGCGAGTAATTATTTAAACTATCTTTTTTGATATTCGTAGTTACTATTATTTTATGTAAAAGTAGAAAAATAGTTGAGTATTTAACTATTACTATTATTTAACAGTAGTAGGTATATAGTAGATATATTTATAATACATTTTTGATCTATTATATCAAAAAAAAGTAAACATATTTCTATCATTCTACGGGCTACCATTGAATGTTAAGTTTCAAACATTGTATCCCAATAAATATTTTCTAATATTTCTATATATTTAATAAAATGTATTTTTTCAAACCTATCTAGGTAAACGGTAAATATAATAATTGAGGCGTTTTTTGCAAAAACCCCATTTGTAAATTTTTTTCCAAAATGTACTTACGTCATCTATAAATTGATGGAGTATTTAACTACATCCCTTGCGTGAAATAATTCCGCAAAAATGATAGTAGTCCAAGATATAAGCGACAAAAATATCGCTGGTTCTGCATAAATCCCATATATCAAGGTACGTTTTCACGAAAAACCACAGATGTCATTGACTTACGTTGTTTTTACGGGAAACTATGAGCTCTTATTATCGAAATTATTGGAATTTTTTCTTAAGTCTGCTCATCCACCAGTTAACCTGTGGTTGTTTTGGTACGACAGACTTATACAGATAACTGGGAAAAATGCCTTATAAAAGATAAACGTGGTATACCCAAAGAATTTGAATTTAAATCCTTCAATAACAAACGTTTAGATATTCCACAGTGAAAAGATGAAAACCCATAAGATTTAACTGAATATTTTAATCAAACCGAGGTCAAAAACTATTATAACAGACTATTCACGGAATCATCTTGTCCGTCCAAGCGGATTACGGATTTAGATGAGCATGATATCAGTAGGTGTTATGAGCGATGAAGATTAATTATTAATTTTATTGTACCTACATACATGTTTTGAATAAAAATGATCTTTTGAAAAAATCATTTAACAAAAATGTTTAAGTTTCATATTTAAAAATATCTTTTTTCTATAAAACTATAAAAATTGTCTGCAAAAATCCCATATATCAAATTAAAAATGACCCCTATAATACAACCGATAGAAAAAAAAAATATTATTTATATTGCGAAATGGTGCCTAATTATCAAACTGATCAACTACGAATATTAAAATTGTTGTAATCAAACTTACATCCAATTAAAAAACTTATTTTTACTTTTCTCGAAAGTTGCAATTAATGACAAATGGGATTTTTGCAAAAAACGCCTCAATTGTTTAGAATTAAAAATGTCGTTAATCATTTTCATTAATACTAAAAATGTATAAATTATTCTGAAACTAAATAAATTAGTAGGTAATAAATGTAAAACCACCTACATTAAATATCCTGTTATACTTTATTCAATATTCTAGTACACATGACATTGACATAGGCGTATGTTTCGCAAAAGTAAGCGAAAAAGAATATTTCATAGCAAAGTATATACTTAGGCGTTTTACTTACATTATAGGCATTTTGTGTAAAAGTATAACACATAATTATTATTATTAATAGAGTTGATATTAAGGTCTCCAGAGAACTGGATCTGGATATTTAAAAATTATCGATGTTTTTTATAAGGAGACATACCTAACTTGTTGTGACGGGAGGTCACATGATGTAAACAGCGTGTTGCATTAGATATGCGATGATGCCAACTGAGGCAGATACTCTTTGTTTTAAAGAAGCGTATATGGCATTACATATTGGCAAAGTTTACAGAATAAATATATAGGTTTATGAAAATAACGTAACATTGCTTTCTCATTTAAGTGTATAATTTTTTTATATATTAATATTAATAATTTGCTATAACCGAATATTGCAATATTTTTTAATTTGTTTATTACAAAATTTAAAATCCAAGATGTACGTCGTTACAAAATGGCGTATTAGGTGAGGGCATGAGTAGTCGTGTCCAGAACAGTTGTGTCCAAGATTGTGCGACGTTAGAAGGACAGATAAAAAAAAGGTTATTAGATGTACCTACGTAGTTAGCGGTAGCTTTACAATTAAAAAATTAATTAACCCCATTAACTATTGCTGTAATACTTTCTTCTATACTAAGTGTGGATTGCATCGACTTACTATAATCGTAACTGGAGATTTTGACAATCAATAACCAGCCGTGGCGGCTTCACCAGCGAACGCCGAGCTCATGATCTACCAAAGTATAAAGATATGCTTTGCCATAGGTAGGATTTCAGAGGGGCCCCACGTTTTTATTTTAGTCTAATATGCCTAAAAGCTATTCTGCCTAGTACTAAAATATTTCTGAACTAGAAGTTCAAAATACCTAATTGTTATTATTATTTTCTAGTTTTCAGGGCACATAAGATAAAACCGTTTAACATAAAAGTTTTTTTACCGATTTTTTATTTACTTTATTCGATAGAAAATGACACTCTGAATAAAATGACATATCATATGTCAACTTTTGAGATATTCGCTGATAAACAAATTGTATTTTAAATTTCAATCTAGAGTGCCATGGCTATGTTAAAAACACTAATTTTTAATGAAAGAGCCTTGGAAAGATGTAATCTAATGTTTTTAGTGTCTTGTCCTGGCCATTTAATAGATGCCCAAATCGTATTTTTAATCATATCTCAATGGCTCATTGGCATATTTGAAAAAAACATTTTTTTGCGAATAATTTGATATCACACACTTGGTATTTCGAGTCAAATTGTCGTTATGAATCGCAGGTTACAATTTTAAATAAACCATATGCCATACAGTTTTTTTACAAAGCCGGTTTATTTAAAGTTTTTAGTATTTTATTTATACCTATAAAATATGAATTTTACAAGTTAAAGGTATTTCCAAATGTAACTTTTTATAACATTTTCCACTTTCCGTCACTTCCGGTTTTGGACCACCGGAATCAATTTGTTTATTTTAATAACACCCTCTGTATATTTTTAGTTTCATTATTATACAGGAAATTCTAAGTACATTTTGCTATACACTGATATATTGTATGCTTAAGCTCCGTCGTTTATAAAATAATTAAAAATTATATTTGCAGGATGAAAGATAATTAAATATATTATGTTACTTATACTTATTTTAGAATATGTTTTATTATGTTTAAATTTTACACAGGGTGCTAAAGTTGTTAAAAATATTAAGTTAATAAAACTATAAAAAGTCGGATTTTTTACATGGAAACACTCATTTTTAATGCTTCTAGTTTATTTGTCATGTCAAAAATAAAGGTATCGGACTTTGTATAAAAGTGTTTGTAGTTATACTCGTATACAATAATTTTTTCTATTAGTCAAATACTATAAATATTAATTATAATAATAGAACTAACTGTTTTTAATGAAATAATGAAAAATAGGTATGTAGAAAAAATAATCTTAAGAATAAGAATATGCCAATGTATTAAGAATTGAAATATGCATTTTTAGTATAGGAATTTATAAAAATGAATCTGGCAACGTAGCAAGAAACGCATAAACACACCAGTCTACAAGAAGTGATTCCTGCTAGATACCGCTATATACCGCGGAAACCAGCATTTTGGTATGTTGGAAAAAACTCTCTTCTAGCTTAGCTAGCGACTTTAACTTAATGTTGATTTAACGAATGTTCTGTATATATTTAGACTTTTTAAAGTCTCGGTTCTTTGTTTAACTGAAGTAAAGGATCAGTGACGAAAAATAAGTGCTTCGATTTGTGTAGATGCAATCCGATGAAAATGAAGAAGTAAGTAAACTTAAATTAATATTATGTTATATGAAATTTTAATACCAAATAGAGAAGAGTTTTTAATTATAAAATTTGATATCAAATATTTCACAAAACCATCAAAACCTGTTATTTAATTATAAACAATTAGACATAATGATATACTTGAATGGTAATAATTTTATTTTATCAAGGTTGTCTAGGATGTATTTTATACCAGTCATGAAAAAAGGAATTAGGTGGGTTTATTTGTTAATTGCATAATTTTCAATTTTTCTAAGAATTTATTTTCTTTGCATTTATTTCAAATATAAGTGAAAGAAAAATTAGTTTTAAAGTTTATAGGGATAGATTATATTTAAAGTTATTAGTATAGAATGAACGGTTGTTTTTAAGAAATTTTATTTGTTATTAAAGTTTAAATCATACGTAATTCTATCATTTATCCATTTTGATAACACAAAATATATTTTAACTATTAGTGATTGTAAATACTACTTTTTAATCATTTGCGAGCCCTGGTATATTCGCAAAATATTCGCATAAATTTAGCGAATTCGAATGCGACTGTGAACAAAAAATATGCTAATATTCGCGAATGCTAATAAGGATATTCGTTACATCGCTATTTATTATATTAGGTATTCGCATTTTTCTAATCACAATTAATATTTATATAATTTAATAACTTTTTGGTTTAATTTTTTTTAAACAAGTAGAAAATTATAAACAAATATGTATAATAAGCAATTACTATATTGCAGAGGAAACTTTGAAATTTTAATTTATAGTATTTTAAAACTTCAAAAGATTTTACTAGTAGGTACCTAGATAATGGTAAATTTTTGCATATTTTATTTTATATTAAACTAGCATGTACCAGCGACTTCGTTCGCCTCGAATTAATAATTTGTAATGGCGATGATAAGCAAAGCAATAAGAATTTCCATTAACATACAAACTGGATAAAATTTTCTCACATTTATGTCAGCATAAGAAAAAACAATATGGCGATATTATTATATAACTTGGTAATATTTGAGGGGTAGTTTCATCTCGTTGGAATTTGACTTTCGAAAAATCCGTTTGCGAAAAGTAAGCTTTTTACGTCAAGCAGTTTAAGCAGAATCGTTGTTAAGAAATTACCCAACTTTTTGGAACACCCTGTATGATTTTTTAAAAAATTTTGAAATATGTAAAAAAACCCGAAGCGTTTTCCCGAAAGACTAACCTTTTTTTAAATAACAAATATTGTAATATTTGAGGGGCGTTTTCACCCTCTTGGAATTTGAGATTCGAGAAACCCCTCCTAATCGAACTTCTATACCCCAAAGTCAATCCGTTTGCTAAAAATCAGTTTAAACGTCAAGCAGTTTAAGCAGAATCGTGATTACTCAATGGTCATATTTTATGAAACATCCTGTATAAATTTATAAAATATCTTAAAATATGTAGAACAACAAAATAAAATATACGTGTTTAAGAGTTTTTTCGAAAAACTCACAGGATTTTAAATAAGAAATATTTTAATATTTGAGGGATAGTTTCACCCCCTTCGAATTCGAGTTTCGAAAAATCTCCTTCTTATCGAACCTCTACACCCTAAAGTCAATCTGTTTTCCAAAAATCAGTTTTTTACGTCAAGCGCTTTAACCAGGATCGTGATTAATCCATGACCAGATTTTTCGAAACACCCTGTATACATTTTTAAAAAATCTTAAAATATGTAAATATTATTCCTAATCTTAATTTGAAAACCGCATTTCGCTAGCTACTGTAATTTTGGAGTTACGATTTTTTAAAATTTTTAACTCCCTCCCATACCCCCTTACCAACCCCCCATCCTCACCAAAAACTAATAGCCAGATTCTCGGGTGCCACAGTATTTTTGTGCCAAATTTGGTTAAAATCGGTTCAGCGGTTGGACAGACGGACGGACAGACAGACAGACAAACAGACACCATGAGAATATTTTGTATTTAGGTCATTTATGACCCAAGTACAGTTCGTCTGCTGGATCTGTGTCTATGAAAGGAATGCGGACAAAAAACATTTAAATAAACAGCAATATATTTTATACGTCGACTTAACGAGTACGTCACCGCAAATCGCTCCGCCCACTCATTTTATTGGCTACTTGCAAATTTGTCGAATTTTTATTGATGGGACGCGTCGTCTATTTTTTTACGAAAAACATCGAGAGAATATCGTTCCCCTCACACAGATACCCCGTAGCCACAGAACGGACAGACGTACTGTAACTCATTTTGAGTGAAATTAAAAAAACTTTTTTTTTGGTATGGTCGGCTAACTAGGTAGTTGGAAAAATAGCTAAAAATGATAAATCTGTAATTTTGAACAGATTTATTTAATTTAAGTGTGAACACCTATATTTACAATACTTATGAGATTAAACTAAAAATATGCATCAAAAAGCATTAAACAACTGGCGTAGGGCAAGTTCTTTTCCCAGTTTTACGGTAATCAAGTTCTAGCCAGATTTACGCAAAATATCAGTTTGGATGTTTTCAGCATCGCTAGTATCTCGCAAGCGATTCGATCGTCGCGACGCTCGGCGTCGGCATGCGTCCTGCGTCGCCCTTTGTTACAAAACAGGTGTTTGAAGGGGGAACTCCCTTCCCTTCATTTGTACCCCCTCACAGTTGCACTACTTGTTTTTGTCGTATAAATTATAGGTTTTAGTTGATATTCTCGATATAGACTTTTTTAAAACTCCGCTATAATACACATTGTATAGTACTACTTTAACCGACACGGAATATTGAACATGGAGTGTCAAGTTGATATTCACGGGCATAACAGGATATCGGTGGTTTTCATCTATATTTATTTTATAAATACTAGAGAAATAAATATGGTTGCAAAGTCTTCTATGTTATATAAATACAGGGTGGCCCATCGAAAACGTTTCGCAAGACATAACGGCCAGGATATTAGTTTTTTTTCAAAAAATCCAAGAACACGTCAATTTTGTTTGTGAGGGGGACAACTTTTGCCCCAAAAATGATTGCAAAATCTTCAACCCTCTAAGCGGGGGTGTCATCCCCCAATTTTTTTCAAATGGGAAGGGGTGTCAAGTGGCACCGCAATGAAAAGAGCTTTCTATTCTCTATATTTCCCCGCTTCGTTTTTGAAAATCGGTCAAGTCATTGAGAAAATATGAAGGATTGAAATTTGAAAAGTTTATTTAAACATTTATCAGAGTAAATGATAAGGATAAATTCCTTCGACCAATTTGCTGTTTTTTCTTATTATTTCTAGATGTTTAGGCATTTTTTCACTTGCCACAATGTTGAATGATCAGGTGCGGTCTCAATATCGTTAAACTGACCCACAACAGAATTTCCAAAAATACCAGCCCGCGACGATCAAAATCGTCTTCGTTGAGTTCTTGTACCAACTGAATTTTGTACGGGTGGAACTTGTGTTTTTTTAATATCGTTTGGACACTTGTACGATTCACACCGGTCGCCGTCTCATTGGCTAATTTTCTTGTACTCAGCGTACTATCCATGGCAACTTGGCCCAATACGAATACTTCCATAGCTTCATTTACTACAGGATTTTCCCTCTGCCTCTTTTTATTCATAACGGAACCAGTTTCGTGAAATTTTGCTACTAAATCACGAACAATTTTGCCATAAAGGTGTTTGTCTGGATGGCGTTCATTGAATATCTGCGCAAACCGATTGCCACATTCTTTATTTTTCACAATAAAGTTCGATTATATCCACTTTTTCTGCAAGTGAGTACACCATAATTGTTAAAAAGTTTAACGATATTGAGAAGAACTTCAACGCACAAGTCACAGAACAGCTATCTAGCAACTACCGCACCACATCGTTCAACCTTGTTGCAAGTGAAAAAATGCGTAAACATCTAGAAATAATAAGAAGAAACAGCAAATTGGTCGAAGGAATTTTTCCTTATCATTTACTATGATAAATGTTTAAATAAACTTTCAATCCTTCATATTTTCTCAATGACTCGACCAATTTTCAAAAACCAAGCGGGAAAATATAGAGAATAGAAAGCTCTTTTCATTGCGGTGCCACTTGACCCCCTTCCCATTTGAAAAAAGTTGGGGGATGACACCCTCGCTTAGAGGGTTGAAGATTTTGCAATCATTTTTGGGGCAAAAGTTACCCTCACAAACAAAATTGACGTGTTTTTGGATTGTCTGAAAAAAAAATTACCCTGGCCGTTATGCCTTGCGGAACGTTTTCGATGGGCCACCCTGTATAGATTTCAAGCGATGTTTTAATATGGACTTACTTTTGGAACTAAATACCCATTGTATACCTAATACTACCTAATTGAGAGAACGAGAATCTCGATCATTAAAATCGGTGCAAGTAAAGTTTTTATCTGGTGTGTAATAAAAAAGCTTAGGCCTTTAGTCCATGACGTCACACGTAAGCTATTGGTTCTTTTACTTTAGGCGGTGCTGATGTCTCGGAGACTATACCTAAGATAATTCTACTATAAGTATAATTTTCTTTGACTATACATTCTTAAAAAAGACAATTTGAATTTAAGTTAGTGTCAGGTTGATTATGATACCAATAAGAAGCAACTGCTCCATTTTATCTATTTTTATTTTTTATTTCATATATGTTGTATAAACATATTTTTTTTACGATCGTGCAAAAAGTAGCTATTTTTACACTATCTATGGTGTGCATGCATTGGTTAATTTTTAAGAGTAGTTAGGTTAGATTGTGAGGAATGGAAACCCACTTTTTTTATTTCACCAGTAAAATGGTTTTTTAATTCGTTACTTTTTGATTATACATGTTCCTATACCTAAAATAAATAGTTTTTAAGTTATTTAAGATTTAGTTTTAAAGGGTATATTTTTTTGTTCTTTAACCAGTAGCTTATGACTTTAAACGTCATGCCATGTAAAAACTATATCTGGCCATGCCATATTGCCTATTAACTATATTTAAAATATTTTTAATAGGAAAGATCTCGTTGTGAAACAGTGATGTGCT